TTTAGGGGGGCCGATTAATAAGGGATTTGGAATACCTGTCTTTGACAGACCAGGGCCTCAGGTGGGTAAATTCCATCTCCTCATCCACGAAGCCCTCGGACATCCGGGCCAGCTGCCCCAGGGTGACGGGCGGCCTGCACTGCGTCGCCATGAGCCACGGCACGAGCGCCCGCAGGCTGGCCTGCTCGGCAATGGGCTGTACTGGGGGGAGGCCTGTATGGGGGGAAAGAACAGGGCACTCAAGGGGCCCTTCAGGGCCCCTTTCAGAGCGGGGGCCCTACAGGGCCCCTTTAGGGCCATTGCCCGGGACCCTCAAAAGCCCCCTTCAGGGCCCTTTTCCTCACCCCCCATGTAGGTCAGCCCCCCATTGCCACACGCCCGACCTGCGCAAGCTCCGACTGGGGCGGCCAGTGTCGGTACTCGTTGGTCAGCGTCTTCAGCGGCTCGCCGCACAGGGGCACCTCTCAGGCGGCAAGCGGCTCGAAAGCATCGAGGCGGACACTTCGGCGTCCCGCGAGGCAACTTCTGGGCAACCCGGGGCCGCTGAAGACCGATATCCAGAGCCGTCGGAGACCGATCGGTCCTCGACAACACCGTCGAAGACCGAGTCGCCTCGGGCTGCAAAACCAATGCCAGGGGAGGGGGCCGAGCGAGCGAGCAAAGACAGACGGCTGCTTCCAGAAACTCCGAGTCCAGGACATCAGCCTGCAACGACCGATTCCCAGGGAGGGGGCCGAGCCAGAATCCAACAAGTCCGCCGACCCCCTCTTACCGGGGGTGGTGAGAAGGCGAATGATCAGGTCGGGCATGTCCCCCTACAGGCGGATCTTGGGCGAACGCAATAAAATAAAACAAATAAACATAACAGACAGACAAAAACTGCTCAACAAGTGCTAACAATAGTCAGCAAATCGACAACACATACTCCAACATAGTCAACAATACTCGTTATATATACAAATGTGTGTTTTTCTCAAGTGCCCAGATTATTTGTCTTCTACTTTTGTATATACCTCCTGTAGAGCGACACGCCTGACGTAAGCGTATGACATGATTGACTGTCGCCCACTGGCAACGACCCTGCTCCGATTGCGTAGTTCACAAAACCGCTTCCCCTCAAGGGGGCTATTAATGCATCCGTTGAGGAGCCGCTGCCACCCCCCCGGCCACGAGCGCGGACCTGGGCGCGAATCGCTGTGAAACTCCATAGCGGCAGGGCGGAGGACGCCCGAGAAGAGACCCTACCGGGGGCGAGGCGGCGTATGACATGATTTATGGTCGCCGTGCGGCGGGGGCGCGCACCCCGCGCAAGGCCGGGAGGGGCGCGCGGCGGCGCCGGGCCGGGCCGCGCCCGCACTCGGCCTGCTTCTGCTGCTGCCTCCTCCTCCTCCTCTCCTCCCTCCCCCTGCTGCTCTCCTCTTCCTTCTCCTCTCCCTGCTTCTGCTGCTGCCACTTCCTCTTCCTCTCCTCCCTTCCCCTGCTTTTGCTGCTGCCTCCTCCTCTTCCTCTGCTTTTGCTGCTGCCGCCTCCTCCTCCTCCTCCTCTACTCCCTTCCCCTGCTGGTCTCCTCGTCCTTCTCGAGCTGGTAAAAAAACAGATGATTTGCTGTCCCGCTCCCCCTCGGGAGCGCGCAAACATGGATTAGCGATCCATGGAATTGGCGCGCGGTAGCCAAATCCATGGATCGGGGGAGGTGCCCTCCTCCCCCAAAACGCGGCCGGTGCCGCCTCGCTCGGCGGCGGGAATCCGCGATTTCCCATGGAAGCGGGACCCGTCGCTAATCCACGCCCCTTGATCCATGTTTGCGATCGCCCGATCCTTCTGGAGCTGGTAAAAAATGTCCGATGAGTGGCGGTCCCGCTCCCAATCCCTGGGATTAGGTGGGGCATGTCGCCATACTGGCGCATTTTGGACGAAAAATACAAAATAGACAAAACATGCGCCAAAATGCTCAAACATAATCAAAAATCGTCCCCTGACTATTTTCTGACTATTTCTCCCCATATCCAAAGATGGGGTTCTTGTTATTGGCGGACCGCGCCGGAAGGACACAGAACAGGACAGAACACCACACCCATCACTCAGACACACACGTAAGTTATTCCCCATATCCTAAGATGGGGTTCTTGATTCCCCATATCCAAAGATGGGGTTTTTGATTCCCCACTCACTCATCACTCAGACTCACTCATCAAGACTCACTCATCACTCAGACTCAGTCCTCACTCAGACACACCACTCATCACTCAGACTCACCACTCAGATTCACTCATCACTCAGACTCACTCATGCTCTCTCATCACTCAGACTCAGTCATCACTCAGACTCAGGCGATTCGCTCGTCTCAGCAATCTAAGGGGGGCGGCGGGGGGGTATTTCACGGGGTCCCGTTCGCGGAATTTTGTGGGGATGTCTCAGGCGGTTTGGCCATTTTCTGATCCAACATGTTTCGTTTTCGGAGCAGATTTGGAGGATGTCTCAGGCGATTCGCTCGTCTCAGCACTCTAAGGGGGGCGGCGGGGGGGTATTTCACGGGGTCCCGTTCGCGGAATTTTGTGGGGATGTCTCAGGCGGTTTGGTCATTTTCTCTTCCAACATGTTTTACTTGGACGCCTCCTACTCCTCCTCCTTCTTCTTCTCCTTCTCCCCCCCTCTCCTCCTCATACCCAGACTTACTCATACACAGACTGACTCACACTCAGACTTACTCATACCCAGACTTACTCACACACAAAATTACTCTTACTCAGACCTACTCATACTCAGACCGGTCCCGTTCGCGGACGTTTTGTGGGGATGTCTCAAGCGGTTTGCTTGATTTCTGTCCCAGCATCCTTCGCTTTCGCAGCAGATTTGGAGGATGTCTCGAGCGAGGCGCTCATTTTCACCCTCCTAAGGGGAGCCGCCAGGGGTTCTCACGGCGCCGTTCGCGACCGTTTTGTGGGGATGTCTCAAGCGGTTTGCCTGTTTTCTGTCCCATCATCCTTCGCTTTCGGAGCAGATTTGGAGGATGTCTCGAGCGAGGCGCTCATTTTCACCCTCCTAAGGGGAGCCGCCAGGGGTTATCTCACGGTCCCGTTCGCGGCCGTTTTGTGGGGATGTCTCAAGCGGTTTGCTTGTTTTCTGTCCCATCATCCTTCGCTTTCGGAGCAGATTTGGAGATTGTCTCGAGCGAGGCGCTCATTTTCACACACCCCTAAAGAGAGCCGCCAGAGGTTCTTACGGTCCCGTTCGCGGCCGTTTTGTGGGGATGTCTCAAGCGGCTTGCCTGTTTTCTGTCCCAGCATCCTTCGCTTTCGGAGCAGATTTGGAGGATGTCTCGAGCGAAGCGCTCATTTTCACCCCCCTAAGGGGAGCCGCCAGGGGTTATCTCACGGTCCCGTTCGCGGCCGTTTTGTGGGAATGTCTCAAGCGGTTTGCCTGTTTTCTGTCCCAACACCTTTCGCTTTCGGAGCAGATTTGGAGGATGTCTCGAGCGAGGCGCTCATTTTCACACCCCAGGTGGGCCAAATGTTGAGGATGTCTCGATCGGTTGCCGGACTCGTGGGCGCAGATTCTCCTCAGGATGCCACTGGAGGCACCAACAGGCTCCAGGAGGCCCCAGGAGACCACATGAGGTCCCAGGAGGCATCAGGAGGCCACAGAAAGACTCAAGAGGCCACAGGATGTCCCAAGAGGCTCTAGGAGGCCCCAGGAAGCTCCGGGAAGCCTCAGGAAGCCACAGGAGGCCCCAGGAGGCCAGAGGAAGCGCCAGGAGGTCTCGGAAGGCTACAAGAGGCCCCGAGAGGCCCCAGGAGCAGGAGGCCTCAGAAGGCAACAGGAGTGGCTCCAACCCCATGTGTTTTACGTATGCTCCTATAGATTGGGCCTCACCTGGAGCACGAATACTTGATGTTATACGTATGGTTCTATATGTTGTCCTTCTCCTGTGTACTGATGTTCCTATAGGGCCTCTCCTGGGGCACGAGTCCTTGGTGTTTTACGTGTGCTCCTATATATTGCCCCCTTCTCCTGTGGCTCCAATCTGCAATTTGTTTTGTACGTCTGTTGCTATATATTGGGCTTCTCCTGGGACACGAATCCTCCCTAGGAGGTCCCAGGAGGCCCCAGGAGGCCCCAAGAGGATCCTGGAGGCCCCAGGAAGCCCCAGTAGGTTTCAGGAGGCCCCAGGAGGCCCCAGGAGGACCCAGGCTCATGCGCAGAGACGCGCTCGTACTACTGAGGCTCATTCACACTCCAATTCATTCTCAATTAGATTCATGACAAGACCTTCACAACTGAAGCCCGTTATATTCGAAAGCTCTTGCGCCTAGACATTCACGGCGGACAGGTCCATGCGAATAGATGCACATATGGGGAGCTCCACGCAGTGAATAATTCCCTACCTAGGCTCTGCCTAGAAGGGTTCTTACTCGGTAGCTTACAGGGCCGGGCAGTGTAACCCGCCCTGGGCGGTTCCCCCAGTAACCCGCCCCGCGGTTCCCCCAGTGACGTTCCCTTAGCTTAGCGTTGCTTATCCTATTTTAGCTTGGCTTATTTCATCTTACCTTAGCTTAGCTTCATCCTATCTCAGGTGTATCTTAGCTTTGCTCACCTTCATCTTAGCTTCGCTGAGCTTTAGCATAGCAGAGCACAGCATAGCATAGCAGAGCGTAGCATAGCATAGCGCAGCACAGCATATCATAGCAAAGCCCAGCATAGCACAGCATAGCGCAGCATAGCATAGCATAGCATAGCAGAGCGCAGCACAGAACAGCACAGCATAGCACCGCGCAGCATAGCATAGCATAGCATAGCAGAGCAGAGCATAGCATAGCGCTGCATAGCATAGCATAGCATAGCGCAGCATAGCATGGCATGGCATAGCATAGCATAGTAACTAATGCTGCTTTCCTAGGGGCTCCAACTTCTAGGTAGGGTCGCACTGGGGTAATTGATGTTTTGAATCCCCTGTAGGGGGACAGGCCCGACTTCCCCCTGGGTCCGAACATCGCACTGGACGGAGGGGGCCCGGGGAGGGGGGGGGGCCCTGGGGAGGCGGGGGCACGAGCTCGGCAACGCACCGCGGGGGCGATCTCCGGAGCCTCCAGAAAGCCCCAAGACGGCCCGATGAGCGCCGAGACGGTCCAAGAGAGCGTCGAGACGGCCCAGGGCACAGTGGGGCTTGATTGGACAGGACACCCGAGAGTTGTTTTTCCCATCGTACTCAAGGACCACATCCCAGGAATAATTTCGATCACCAGGGAAACGTGTCGAAACAGTGTCGAAACAGTGTCGGACGAGTGTCTCCCAGGGCCCGACACGTGAAAACCCTCGAGTTTCGGTGCTTTTTCGGTGCTCGAAATTCTTCCTGGTGGTCAAGGCTAAAGTAAGTTGGAACGTCATAACCCGAGAGGACACAAGACTTTTCCGACGGCAGCGCGGCCCAAGAGCACCAAGGGGCATGCGTGTTGCATGGGTCGGGATAGACGATACACAAGCGTACCCTCGATTCGGCATGGTCGACCTACGAATCCCTGCCGCCTGTAGCTCAGCAACGGTCCGGGACGACGTCAAGACGGCCTGCGAGGCACCCAAGACCACCCAAGAGTGCTTCCAGAGGGCCGCCGAGAGGGTCCCAAGAAACAAACCTCGCTAGTTTCGTTTCGGAAAATGCATTTCCAACATGCCGACCTCTTTCGACCCAACAGCTCCCAGGACGGCCCAAAGAGCCACCAAGATCGCCTCAAAACGGCCCAGGAGGCCCCCAAAAGGGCCCCAAGACGGCCCAGGAGGGCCCCAAGAGGGCCCAAGAGTGACCCACGACGTCCCCAGGCGCCCGCCTCGACGACCAGCGAGGGCCTCAAGAGGGGCCCAAGAGGGGCAATACGAACTGACATCTCAAGTCTTTCCTGCCGTGATGGCCCCAAGAGCACCCCCAGTGACCCCCTGGCCCAAGAGACCCCCGAGTCCCCAAAAAGCCAATCAGATCCCCTCAAGAGCCCTCCAAGAGGCACCTTCGAGGCAGTCAAGCAGACCTTCATGTACGTCCCCCGAGGCTTTTGATCCACAGGCCAGGCACAGTGGCACGACGCTTTAAGAATTCTTGGTTATGGGATCCCGCAGGATTGCGTAAGCCTGTCTTGAATCAGGCTGCAAAATCGATGCCCCCAGGGAAGGGGTCAAGCGAGCAGAGACAGATGGCTCGCTCCAGAAGCCCCGAGTATCCAGGAACAAGTGTGCCTCTCTCAGCTCGGGCACGCGCAGGAGCGACCCTGGGCAAGAGTGACCCTCGGTGCGCGGCTTCTGGGCGGTCCCGCGGGGGACCCCAACGCGAGCGCGCAATACGCTACGTAGTATCGCGTCGAGTTTGGCGATCGGGGAGGAGGAGGAGGAGGAAGAAGAGAAGGAACATGAGGAGGACCAGGAGGGTGGGATGAGGAGGAGGAGGAGGAGGAGGAGGAGGAGGAGGAGGAGGAGGAGGAGGAGGAGGGTGGGAGGAGGAGGAGGAGGAGAAGGAGCAGGAGGAGGGTGGGAGGAGGAGGAGGAGGAGGAGGAGGGGGAGTAGGAGGAGGAGGAGGATGATGAGCAGGAGCCCTGGTGGGCCCTTATCAAGGAGGTTACTCCGGCGAAGGATCACTCCTAGTCTTGCGTGCAGCCGACGCTTCCCCAGGGGCGGCCCCTTCCACCCCGAGCAGCTTTTTCCCGCGTCCGCCCCGGGGGCCCGCGAGGACCCCTGGAGGCCGAGCACGGCCAGACTTCGGTCGGGCATGTCCTCCTGCAGGCGGAGTTTGGAGGAAACATAAAAAACAGTCGACAATCAAATAAAAAATCCAAACAAATACTCGAAACACCGTCCCCAGACTATTTGGTTGACTACCTTTGCATCTTCCTCCTGTAAATTGACATGCCCGACTTAAGTACAAATGCCTCCCGGTGTGAGTTCTGCCGCGACGCGAAGGGCCATTCCGCCGAAGGGTCATTCTCCCGCGTAGCCGATTAGACTTAGGTCGGGCGTGTCCTCTTGCAGGCGTATTTGAGACGAAGGATGAAACATGGTCAAGCATTTTCAAAAAAAACCATCAGACATAGTAAACACATCTTCCCACGACCATGTTTTACTATTTTCGGCTTCTCCTCCTGTAGAGGGACATGCCCGACTGAATGAAGATTCTACAGCGCTGCTTTCCCTCCGCCGTCTTCCCGCCCTGGCGGGCCCACCGACGTGCTGCTCCTGCCGGCCTTCAGCCGCCCTGTGGCGATACCTACCAGACCACCCCAATCCGACCAGAAGACCCACATTTCGGGTGGGGGGGGTATGGGCTTCACATGAGTGTTTTTTCGATGTTCCCCGACCCCACCCCCACTGGAAATGAAGGGCCAATTGAAGCCTTCGGGTTGGGTTGGGGTGGTTTGGTGGGTGCAAGGGCTCCCAACTTCGCGCTTCGCGCTGCGCGAAGCGCGAAGTGCGAATAACTTCGCGCTCTCGCGCCGCCTCCCAGGGGAGAAGAGGAGGATGAGGAGGAATCGGAGCCGAACCGCGAAGCGCGAATAACTTCGCGCCCTCGAGGGCGCCCTTGTGGGTGGTGACTTCCTGACGCGCACCGAATGGGCGACGGACAAGAAAACACGGGTCCTGCGCGAGATGGCACAGCGACCCGACGCGGCGGCTCACGCGGGCCGCCAGCGCGGCACGCTGCGCCAGAGACGAGGGCGCTCACTTACGCGCCCTGACGCGGGCAGCTCGCGCGCGAAATGTCGGCGCAGACGACCCCGTGTTTCTTCTTTCGTTTGCGTCGCTCCTCTTTTCGTGTACGCCTTCCGCGCGCACGAGCGACCGCGTGCAAAGATGACGGCCGGCAGATGCTGGCCGCACATTTTTGGGTCGGGCCTGGCCCCTTACAGGGGGATCTTGGGGCGAAACACGAACAACATAGTCTCAAAAATTGTCAAAACATAGTCCCCATATTATGTTTTGACTATTTCTGAATATCCCTCCTGTGGAGGGACAGGCCCGACTGAAGCGTATTTGCGTGCGCGTACCCAGACATCCGACGATGTCATTATTTCAACGCGCAAGCCCAGAAGTCTCGACCCCTCACCGGGGAGCAGTGCTTCGTCCTGGCTCCGTTCATGATGGCCCTGGGGCCCGGCAACGCCCCCAAGTGGGCCGAACTCGAAGAAAACGCCAGGACCGAACGAGCACTTTCGAATCGCCGCGGGGGGGCGGGGTAAGAGGATGGAGGCGTCAGAAGCAGATGCTAAGGTCGCCTATAACTGGCCCGACCCAACTTACAAGTGGGTTGCAAGCTCCCTAAGTGGCTCAAGAACGCACCTGTCCAGACTTTGTGGGCGGAGCCCGCTTGGCGGAGCTATCTAGTCACCCTCAAGCCACTCAGGGCACTTGTAACAAACTTCGAATCTAGGATCGGCTAGCTGCAACACACCTTTTACAGGACAAAAATGATGTCATGATGCGTTCGGGTCGGGGTACGTTTCGGGATTCAAGACTTCCGACCTATCTGACGGCCCTCGGTTCTGCAGCCCGCGTTGAACTCCTGGAAATCTCAAAAACCGGGGACATCATGGAACGTATCATGATCATGACCTCTCGCCCCTCTGAACCTCAGCATCCGCTTCTTACCCGCCGCGTCCACTTAGCAACCCATGGTGAGAGCTGTTCATTCCTTGTTTTGCCGATCGGCGCGGGCCCTCGATCCCCCCCTCCCCACCCCCTGTGGAAATGATCTTGGCTGTTTGGGGCGCCTTTTTCGAGCAGGTGCCGTCTGCCCCATGATGAACGCCCTGCTGCAAACAGTCGCACTGAGCAGAGGTCCGGAGCCAGACCCCCCCCCCCTCCCCATCCTCCCGCCCCAATGTCGAGACGCCGAACAAGAGAACGCCGACATGCCGCGACCCGAGCTGGCCTCTGCTCGAAGGGCCCGACGGGCCCACCCACGCCTCGAGAGCGCCAGGCGCCCCCTCGCCGACCCGGGCGCCTCGCCGCCCCCGTGGTGCAGGCCAAAGTGCACGGGGATCTTCTCGGCCTCCGCGCCCTGAAGCCAGCTGATCTCCCGAATGGTGATGTTGAGCAGGCTCCTGTCCGGCAGGGTGGAGGAGGAGGAGGAGGAGGAGGAGGAGGAGGAGGGAGGGAGGAAGAGGAGGGAGGGAGGGAGGAGGGAGGGAGAGGGAGGGGAGGGAGGGGAGGGAGGGAGGGAGGGAGGGAGGGAAGGGAGGAGGAGGAAAGGAGGAGGAGGAGGAGGAGGGGGAGGAGGAGGAGGAGGAGGAGGAGGAGGAGTAGGAATAGGAATAGGAACCAATGGCGATGCCAATCCCAAGACTTGGGCTACCCACGGCCTCGCTGGGCCTTTTCGGCCTTGCTGAGGACCTTGGGGGGGAGCCCTTCGTGAATTCTCCTGAAATACACACGTCCTGTGGCTCCGAGGGTGTCCGTGCAAGGCTTTGCTAGCGAACATAGCTGCTTGTCAGCTATCGCCCCACACTTGCCACAGAACCATACATTCAGAGACGGGTGGAAGTTGAGGTGGTGGGAATGGTGCAGCCAGCCCCCCCCGACATGGATTCTCCCTCCGACTGGAGGGGAGTAAATCAGCCCATTCACGTTCACCAAACTGTGACACTCAGTCGCATGGTGGCCAGTGACGCAGAGCCGCGGCACCGAAGGCATCTCTTTTTACAGTCGGACAGCTGATGCCGAGACATGAGAGCAGCAACGGCAGGAGCAGAGGGGGGAGGCGGGGGAGGGGGAAGCTTAGGGCCTCCGCGCAGCACACCACCGCGCTCACGCTCCAACTGCTTTTCCTTGGCAAGACAGTCAACCGCAGCTCGCAGCAGCCTGAGGCGCACGAGCCGTGCACGGCGCTCGTGTAACAGCAATCTGCATCGTTCTGCCTCGAGCACGCGCGCCTGGACGGCAGCCAGTCCCGCTAGCTCGTCCACCACTGCATTTCCTATAATCAGTTGGCGGATGCCTTGGCCAGCTGCCATCTGGCTGGCCGTCAAGTGAGAATGAGTGAAAAGGACCGACACATGATGGGGCGGGCGGTGAGTCATCAGCTGCCCGATGGCCGCCCAGAGGTCAGCGTCCGCTCCCCTGGGCTGAAGATATCTCTGCTCGTACCAGCCTGTGACAACATCTTCGAAATCGGTGACAAAAGTGAGAAACTGCGTGGTGGCCCAGAGGGCCAGGTGCAAGCACTTCAGCTCACCCCTGGCCACCACCTGCCGTCGTCCGCACAAGGGCCCAAAGATGGAGCCCCTAGGGACGATGGCAGGCTCCACACACTCGAAGCATGTGATGGCTAGGCCAACTCTCCGCAGCCTGGGGCACCTACTGTCTGGGCCCCCGCTGGCGTCGCCGGAAATCATGACGGGTCGCTCGGCCGAGCCAGGCCCAAAAAGTCCAGCCTCGAGCGTATGGCCGCCAGTGAACTGCCAGGCGTCCTGTGACGGCGGTGGGCTCACCTCCGTCCAATGCGCAGGGAGCAGCCCGCGCAGCCAGAACGCCTCCGCAGTGTTGCACTGCGTCACCGCCTGCATGCACAAGTCTTCCGAGTCGGTGTAGGGCTTGGCATCTGTGTTACACCTGCACTGCCAGTACCGATGTAGTGGGGTTTCGACCTCCTCGTTGCAGCGGTCGCAGATGTCCGTGCCCTGGTATCTCTTGAGCTCCTGCTTCTTCCTCTGCTTATTCCATATCCAGCCTGGCGCGACCATCACCATGATTTCGCACAACCTCTTGCCGTTGGGCACCTGGGACAAGTGCCTCAGTAGCTGGATGCACGAGGTGTTGTCGACGCCCTGCTCCAACCCCCCGCCGCAGAAGTGCTTGGCAGCCTGGGTCCAGAGCTGGGTCTGGCAGGCCTGGCGCACGTCGTCCAGGAGATGATCGTGGCGGTCCACGTGGGGGTTTCCCGTGTAGATATGATCTGGGAACTGCCACTCCCCACTGCGATCAGGGCCGACTTGAAACGACCACGTATCGGGAGCATGGGGAGTCCAGCCCAGCCTCAGCAGCGTGTGAATGATGGCCCCAGTAGGGCCTTTGATGAGCCGTACCTGAGCTGGCACAGGAACTGCCTGCATCTGCTGCACAATAGCGGGCCACGCACGACGGACCCCCGCCCTGATCCCGGGGCAGTCGCGCCAAATCTTGAGCCAAGTGTCCACCGTCTGGGTCGGGCAGAGCACTCCAGGATCAGCTCCAGGGGCCCTGAGCGCCAGGACGGTGGTGAGGCATCGGCCTCGCGCTGGCGAGGCACAAGCCTGCGCAAGCCTGCGCCTGCTCCTCGTGAGCTGCTCGCCGAAGAGCCCGTGGACCTGGTGCCCGTAGAGACCCGCGGGTAGACCGCCTTGCCTCTGGAGCTTGGTCATGGCCCCGTACTGCTTCGTGGCTCTCGTGAACCTTCGGATTTTGACGCTCATGAGCCGATGCTTCTTCTCGCGCAGCACCCTGGTCGCTCGCGCTCTCCTACCGCACCCGAAATCGATGCCCAGGTAGGTGGCGTGCGTCACTGGCTTAATCACAAAGCCTGCACGTCGGACCTGGCGAGCAATAGCCCGAGCATCATGCATCGAACTGCAAATGACAACTGATTTATCGGCAACCTTAAGCTTGCGCTGCTGCAGCTCACGGCACGTCATGATGATGCCGCTGGCGAGCTCCGAGCGGATGGCCCTGCTAGACCCCTTGAATGTCTCCGACACGTCGTCGACCCATAGCATCGCCCCCATCCTCGGATGGGCTGTGGTGACCGTGGCCATGACATGGTGGGTCATCATCTTGGCGAAGCGGGTTCCTGACCGCAGCCCTTGCACGACGCTGAGGAGCGGGTCAAACAAAGTCGACACAGTCTTGTCCTGCTCCAAGCAGCGTGGTGCCACGCATTGAAGAAGTTCTAAGTACAATATCACTGGTGGAAAGTGAAGCCGCAGCGCGGCTGAAACGAGGATGTCCCACGGGATGCTGTCGTAGAACGTGGCGATATCCAGCATCCCGTGGCCGTGCTGCATGCCCATGGTGAAAGCCAGCTCCTCATCGAGCGCTCGCAAGAAAGCCTCCTGCAGGCAAGAGTTGCCTGGGAGGGCGGCGTCCCAGTGGCGAGCGCTCTCAGCCGACCAGGTCTGCACGGACGGCTCGCGCATCAAAGACCAGAGTCGGCCGAGCATCGACACGAGGCCGATCGCCCGATCGCCCCCAGTCTTTTTGGGAGTGAGCTTCCCAATCACTGCCAACGTCTGGGCGGGCCAGGCCAACGTGGCCTCGACCGCCTCCAAGATCAAGAGCAGCTCCGCCTGGCCTTCGACTGGGAGCCTCTGGTAGCCGGTAGGCGTGACCATGTCGATGCCCATGCCTGCCTTGGCCTTCATACGTGAAGCAGCCCTGGTAACGTCCGTCACCTCGAGCTGCGGGAGCGGCTCGTCGACCGCTCGAACTCGAATCTGTCGAAATAGTTCTCTCACGTCCTGCAGCTTGGGGGCCGAGGGTGCCCACAGCTGCTGGTACTTCTGCGCCTTTGCGTCCATGATGTCCTTCGGATGGTACACCAGCTGCTGGCCCGCCACGATCTCGGTAGGAGGCAGAGGACCCTTCTTCAAAGATTTGTGGAGAATGCCGTTCGCTTCTGGCTCCACCACCCACGCACGGAAGTCGTGGATAGCCGACAGCACCGCAAGCCGCTGGGCCAGCTGCATGATCTTCCGAGCGTTGTGAACATACGACTCCAACACCGCTGGGTTGATCTGGCACTTCGCCTCGAGAAGCCGTAACCATTCTTCCCATGGAGGGTCACGGCCACCTCGGAGCACGGCATGAGCGCCCTCGGGGCAATCTCCAGCTGCCTTGAGCGCCGCCTCCTGGTAGCACTGCAACTGATGAGTGCCACTCCCGCGCTGGAGGTGCCGGCTGACTCCTGCGATCAGCGCGTGGACCTGGGTCCACCACTGGGCTCTCTGGTCACGGAGGTGGATCTTTCGTCGGTGAGCCGCCTGCCTGACTGGGCCCTCGACCCAACGAGCCACGTGCGCACGTCTCGAGCGAGGGAGCTCCATGCCATGGTGTCTGGTGATGCTCAGCTCGACTGTGGAGATCCACGCTGCATACATTCCTGAAACAACAGTAGGGTGTGAGGCCTCTAGCCGAAAAGCTACGGACTTGAGGAGGGACGGAGAAAGGGATTGAATGCAGTCCTGCCCCGAAGCAAAACCCACCTCCCGTCTGCTCTCGACCCATACCTCGCTAGGGATCTGGAAAGTGGCCGACGCGGAGGGGGAGCTTTCAGGGGCCTGTAAAGGACTGGTCCCAGGATCACAAAACTGAAAATCATGCTGGTTTAAATCGGGATTGAAATCTTCCCTCATCTTGGTGGGGGGGGGGGCTGGCACGAATTGGGGAGGGGACTATGCTGTGCCATTGCTGGATCAGTCTTACACTGCCTCTCCTGCCGACACGCTCCAACGCTGCCCGCCGAGCCAGGTTCAGGAAGGATGGGGTGAGACGGGGGGGCGAGGGCATTACTCAACTCTCCGTCTGCGCAAAAGTTCAGCTGGTCAGCCCACGGGTCGCCCTCTTCGCCGGGTCAACAATCGAGAGATTCTTCGACCTCATCGGGAGGGGCCTGACCTACACCCTCCACTGACGACGACGGGACCCCAGGGCTACGAAAGCAATCCCCAAACATTCTTGAAAGTGCGACCTACGAGCCTCCAGGGCCTCTTGCTGGGCAATCGCCTGGCGGGCTCTAGAAACGCTAGATTTAGAACCTGCAGTGGGCTCCCTACGGGGTCTCGGGGCTTGAGGAAGCCTGGGGGAGACCACGAGGGAGCGGGTGAGAAGCTGAAGGCCAGAGCTACGAAGCTGGAGGGCCAGACCTTGATGAGGCTTCCAAGGAACAGATCGCACGGCACTGATTGTTTTCAGAAACGGCGAGGCCTCGGGGCTGCACACCACATAGTCTAGCACCTCGCCCCGCCCCTGACTATTGGCACACGCGCCTGCAGGGCCAGCTGTGCGGACGATGGCGTTCAGCTTGGAAACGAACATGCTGGCTGCGAGGATGTCGGGCTCCATGTTGAAGTCC